TTTGGACACAAGACACCTAACAACCCAATGTATGTCCTTCACTCAAAAAAATTGATTTTGTCATTTGGGAATAGTCGTTGCTGGTATTTATAGTTTACCTACAATCAAAGAGCATTCTGAACTCCACCAATGATGGAATTGTGCCAAACTTAGCACACAGGGCTCCCATGACCAACAGAAAAACTGGAAGGGTTTGGTGGACATGGACCTTGAGTTTGGGAGTTGTAGTTCGCCTACATCCAGACAGCACTGTGGATTCAAACAATGATGGATCTGGACCAAACTTGGCACAAATATTCCATATGCCCAAATATGAACACAGATGGAGTTTGGAGGAAATAGACTTTGACATTTGGGATTTGGAGTTACTGGGATTTATAGTTCACTACAATTAAAGAGCATTCTGAACACCAATGATGGAATTGAACCAAACATGGCATACAGGACTTCCATGACCAATAGAACACACCGGAAGGGTTTGGTGGGCATTGACCTTGAGTTTTGGAATTGTAGTTCACCCACATCCAGAGAGCACTGTGGACTCAAACAATGATGGATATGGACCAAACTTGGAACGAATATTCCATATGCCCAAATATGAACACAGATGGAGTTTAAGGGAAATAGATCTTGACATTTGGGACTTGTAGTCACTGGGATTCACAGTTCACCTACAATCAAAGAGCATTCTGAACCCCACCAACGACAGAACGACAGAATGCTAAAGAGCATTGCCATGGAGACATTGTGGGGTAGGCCTTCTCAGAGCTGGAGAAGGGAGAGAGCACATGGGCTATGGCCTCTCCAACACTTTATAAAGCCAGTCCTCCTTATTCACAGAGTCTGCATCCACGGATTCAACCAAGCATGGCTTGTATATATATTCCCAAACAATCCAAAAGCAAACTGGGGTTTTGTCATATCGCATAAGGGATGCTATTTTATTCTGCCACTGTATTTAATGGTACTTGGAAAAACCAAAGATTTTGATATCCATGACGGGATCCTGGAACCAAATCCCAGCAGATATTGAGAGTACATGGTATTCTCACATCCTCACCCATTATTAAAAGCACATTTTTTTAAAAAAATGCCTTCTTGTATATCAATTATTGATGTCAAAGCTACCCGGACAACCACAATCAAGACGTCCTTTTATTTAAAATTTCAACTATTCCCTGTACTTAAAAAAAAAAAACAACTGAGTTGGTTGTTAGTGGTTCAAGAAACAAGTTGGCATGGAGCATTATAGTGTTACAGTTTTAATAGTAAAACATTTGGTTATTTGATTCTGTGTTACAAAATTAATTTCCCTGCAAATTAGGAGCTACAAATGAAAGTGGCAATCTTGAAAAACAGGCAAAAATAAGAAAGCATGTAAATTAAATTTTATTGGTACTGAACACTGTATTGTGATGGGAAGCCTATTAAAGAGGAGACTATATACTATATACAGCACTTTTGGACAAGGGGAGCCATGGCACAGATACTTTAATCAGAAGCAGAAATTTAAAATAAACCTCAAAAAATGTCACTGCAATATATTAAAATTTGGGTAAAGAAGTTACTGAAGAATGTGATACAAAGCATAACATTCCCCTCCCTGCACATAACATTACTACCCTGATATACATAGGAGATACATTTCCAAGCTTTGCGATGATATGCAAAACCACGATTTTCCATTGGCAGAATCATATGCATTCTGTGATTTCATTGCAAACCCGAAAATTCAGTATTTTGAATTGAATTAAGTATTCTGAGAATCTCAGGGGACCTTGTCACTTACAATAAATAATATGTTTAGTCTTTAATGCGGCAAATAAAAGTTCTGAAAACATGAAACTAGCAGTGAGATGAAGGATCTGATAATGAAGCATCCATTCAGATTTTTTTCTTGGCAAATTTTGACAGGTCTTTCCTAAACAAAGAACATGTATGTAGATGAAAGGGTAATAATACTGGTTTTTTTAATCTAGAGGGAACTATATATCAACATTAAGCATTCTTCATCCTGGTCATATTAAAACAGCAGCAATAAAAAATCAAGTGCCAAGGCTTTTTTCTTAACAAACTTTAATAATGGTTGACGACCAGGTTGTCTGGGATAAAAGCACAAAATTACAATATACTGCAAATTGCTACAGGAGGAACTGTAGCCTTTTTCACAATATCCCAGTGGTAAGACTGCTTGAATTTTTGTTTTAGACAAAGACAGGTTTTTGTGCAATTGACTGAACAAATTTGTTACCAGGAAATGGAGTATTTGGGGTAAAACATAGGAAAGTATATCTCTGTATAGACTGAAATGTGTAATATTTGTATGTTTCAAATAATCAGGCACAAAAGACTCAAAATTAAGATTTGCATACAATGAATCAGAAGCAAGTACTTTGGCCAACTTCTCATAACTATTATTTTTAAAATTGAAAAAGAAATGTATAAGCTCCCAACGGTGAAATGAGGTAATGCTGAAAAACACCAATAACGGGCTTCTTGTTGAACACCCCAATCCCTTTTCTATTACATATTTGCACTGGGCACAAGCGCAGATTGTCCAAAATCTAGACTCCAAATTCCTCTGCAAATATACAAATAGATTAATTTCCCTGGTATTCTAAGCAACACATCTAATTAGCTACACATTTCAAGGACACAGTTCTTGGTGGCCACACAACTGCATTCCATTAATATCTCCTTGTACAACTCATCTAAAATAGTCCACAACTTTTCAAACAGGATAGTGACTATCTTAACTACACACATGAATTGGACTTAAAGCTTTAGCATAGCCCTCTTTGTGTGTCTCAAAATTGAGATATATATTACGATGGGCAGGAAATACATAGAAAAATATCAAACACTGGTGAATTTTAGTTTCTTGTCTGGAGTTATCATTGCAAAGACTGTTGTTTTGGGTTGTTGTTTTTTTTTTTAAAAAAAAAACACAAACCAAACGTTTTCCTGCTCTTAATTAATGTGATGTAGGTTCTTTCCCTATAATCTACTAACTCATCAAAATGTCTAGCATTACTGCCATGCAGAATTAACACCAACCATTTCTAGACTTAGAAGTGTTCATTTTTAATGTGAGGTCCTTTAGAGCCCATAGTACAATTTGCAACTTTGGTCGTGAAAATGTTTCAGGCCATTCGGAAGAAAAGGGGTCTTTCACAGCATGTTCCGTTCATTTCTTAAGTTCTTTGCGCTCTTGATAAACATGTCAGATAACCTTTATTGTTCTCTAGAGTAAATAAATTCCTGTTAGCACTTAAACTGTACAGTTTCAAAGATGTAAAAAAAGAGGAAATATTGGCTCATGTGCTAGAAATACATTCTTCCACAATATCTCTCAATTAGCTGATTTAAGTATTCCTGCCACTTAGCTCTAATGAACTTTGATTTAAGTGCTTAGAAATTCATTAAAATTCTGTCTTCCAGTGCCAAGGAATTAATGCCTCACAGCCAAACAAGCAATGCCAAAAATGTTTCAAGGAGAAAAATTGTCTTGATCTAGCAGTTACCATACAATATTACAAATTCAGACACATGGGGAAAATAATTAAACAAAAATGTACAACAGCTTTGATGTTATATAAAATGCTAAAAAAAGATCAAATGAAGCTCATGTGTTTTCGCCACAGCCATTTTACTGCTGACTGTAAGGGTAATTTCATTTCATTTCTGCAATGAGCCCTTAGCTTTCCAAACATGATGTTTTGGAAATGGCCAAGGCCACCATTAAAAAAAAAAAGAGGTTCGGTTTAAAAAATACATATCTCATCTCTTGCAGTATTGCTTTGTGGCACATACGTCAAAGGAACAACAGTCCAAAATAAAGTGACAACTAGATTTAATAAATTAATATTCTTTTAAAGATGTACAATGAACATTCATTTTTAATCCAAGTTTTTAGGGTATCGGGTATTGCTATTTACACATTTACAGGTCTCAGCACTGATAACATCAGAAAATGCAGATAAAAAGGGCACAGCCTTAACTGCTATCTGAATACCATGAGAAAAGAAGCAAAAATTAAAAGATAAAAACCCAGCTGAGAGGACTGTTGGGAAAGACACCCAAAGAATGAAGACAAGTCTTTGAAAAAGGACACAAAGGCAAGGGAAGATCAAGTAATTCCATGTGACCATTTCTATTCTTGTGAAGACTGGGGGGGTGGCGGCGATGTTGCTTGTTTCCCAGCTTTTCGTTCATAATTCACCAGTCGCTGTCCAACAAGGTATCTAGGATTTAAAAGGAATTTCAGTTTGTCATTTCTTTTGTTATATTACTTGTCATCCTTTTGTAGTGAAAGAGGAAATTTCCTCTATGGGTTTTCAAATACTTCACTGGTTAGTATCTCCCTCAGTGTTACACTTATTTTCCAAGGTTCAGATCAAAACAATGTCTATCCAATGAAAATACAAAAGTCCCTTCATGTAAAGAACAGTCAATGACTGGTCAGTAGTAATGCTTTATTTATCCATTCCAAATGTAGAGAACCCAGATATGGCTGTTCTAATACAATACTGCATGCTTTGTATAAAAGGTCTGATTTCACAGATGTTTTGAAGAAAAGCCTTCACTATTTAAGTAGCAGCAGTAAAATGCACTTTATAAACCCTATGTAGTCAAATTACTACCAAGCTAAACCACTGTTCTATCACTATGGCATTAGATCCAAATAGAGCCCCTCCCCCAACATCAAGTGCTGTTCTAGGGCCAGAGTAAAGAGGGGCCAAGAAAACAGTGCCATCTTGTCTTCAGTGTCATCAGTTGGGAACCCCTCCCCCAACACCAAGTGCTGCTCTGGGACCAGAGTAAAGAGAGGGGTCCAGGAAGATATTGTATTTATTGTATTGTACAGGGTGAGGCAGCATAACTTCCTTTTTTAAAATGCGTGCCATTCAGTCAGTAGCGGAGCGCTAGTGGTCTCGTTCGAGAGGTGGGAGTATAAAATTTTGTCCTGACACAGTTCAGTCTCCATCATGTGTTGGAACAGTGAGGAGCGTGCTTTTGCCATTGAGGCCTACTTTTCGAGCGGATTGGGAGTGGCCGGCCGGCTCTCCAGATTTGGCCCCTTGTGATTTTTTTCTATGGGGTTTTCTGAAATCCCGTGTTTATGTGAACCGTACAAGGACCCTACAAGATTTGAAGACCAGCATCCAGGAAGAAATTGCCCACATAATGCCTGCTATGCTGGCAAGAGCCAGAAATCGGTTTACTCGGTGTATGGAGAATGGGGGACATCACCTACCTAATTTGATCTTCAAAACTACATAAAACAAAACTTTAGGTATGCACCTACATTATAAAAAAAATTAAAAACTTCTGATCCATACAATGGGTTTTATTAAGTTTTGAAAAAAGGAAGTTATGCTGTCTCACCCTGTATATTACTTGTAAGCCGCTTCGGGGTGAGAAGGGCGACATATAAATGTCATAAATAAATAAATAAATACTTTGGAAACATACTATAGAATTAAAAACACTTCCAAGAGAACACTTCCAAGAGCTCTGCATTGTGTTCATCTCTTCCCAGGACCTGTTGGAAATAGCAAACTTCTACAAGCCTATAGTAATTATTTGTTATAGACAGAATTAAGATGGCTTACTATATTTTATGTATTTATTGGTATGCAGTTTTTTCCCTTAACTCTATGTTATTAGAGGTTCCTGAAATCTATGTTGTTAGAGGTTGCAGGAGGAACTACAGACCATGTGACCTTGATCTTAGAATATTCGGAGTGAAACTCCATTTTAGAATGTGTTTGAATCAGAAGTCAGTTAAGCCAGTTAGAAGTCAGTTGAGGCTTGTGTCAGTTGGAAGTTAGAAGTCAGGTGAGTCTCTTGATGTCAGTTAGAGCAGGGGTATAGTCCGTATGCTGCAGTGAGATGTCAGTTAGAGTATAAGTCTGTTTGCATCAGAAGTATAGTTAAGTACGGTATAGTAAACAAGTTGTTGTATTAGTCAGTTAGCATGAAACCAATAAGCAATGTACATACATTAAATACATGAAGTTTGTAAGTAAATCAACTATGTTAACTTTTAACTAAGACTATTTATTTTTGGGTCTCTTGAGAGCATGATTTAAAACCAATATATTTTGTGGGAGAGTAGTTGATATTTCTGGCCAACTAAATAACACTTCTAAAGTTCTGCTATATATTTTATGCAATGGCATATCTGTGTTCCTAACCATCCAGAGAGATAACTAGGTATATCAGTCTAACAGCTGAGAAATCTAAATTGCTTTGCATGAATACTAGTGGATATTTACCACTAAAGGGATTTTAACTCTTCTCCGGAAGATTATACTTTGCAAAAAGGTTATGATCTCTAACAAGGCCATGCCTTTCCAAAAGCTTATGATTATTCCAAATAGTGTGAATGCCAATGTGGAGATTCCTGATTTTCCCAATAGGACCTAAGTTACCTAAACTTTTAGGAGCCTATTATTAATATTGCTGGACTAACGAATCTTGCTTAGAGTAAGTACTCACTTGTCATTTTTAATGTGTTCATAAAGGCGCTTGAACTGACGGACCTGGAAGGATAAGATCCCCATCAAAACCACCACCATGAGTAGAAAAGGATAAATCCGACGCTGTACTAGATTTTGCATTTCAGGAGTGACACCTGCAAATATATTTTTGGAGAGAGAGATTAATTTAGGCATTTCTATTTCAGACATTTAATGGTAGTAAATAAATAATTGTGATCATGTCCTCCTTTTCTTTTTTAATAAACTACAGTCAAGCAACTGAACTATCAAATGGTTTATTTAAGTGCTTGTTAACACTTAATGCTTGCACCAGCATATTTTCAAGGAAAATGGTTCAACTGAAGCATCAGTTGTGTTCCTATCAAGTCTGGCACTTTCACACACTGATCTATGGTCCTCATATTCAGCAAATATTCCTCAACATATTTTTAAGGGACAGTTATATATAATTTGAACAGAATAGAAGGATTTTAAGTACCACCTACAGCAGAAAACAAAAGGACTTCATTGTTTGTTTATGGACCACAGACTACATTGACTTTCCAATTTATAACATAATGTTTCACTAACCTAGCAAATGAAATTGTTCTTGAACCTTTGGGCAAGAAACAAAAGATGATCTATAATGTGGAGCCTACACTTATGAAGAAGCTTGAAGATGTGCTTGACAGAGCACTCATTTGAATTGTGCCAACTGAGCATTTGGCATTCAAAGGAAGATTGATGATCCTGTATTTCTCCTGTTTCATCTTAATCAACCCCAGGGTCTAAATGATGAAATTGCAATTTGTGCTTACCTAGTAAAGGTACAACACCAGAAGCTATGATGTAAGGTACGCACAGGGAAAGCAACAAAACTGAGATAACAGGCGCTGCAAGCTTCCGTATTATAAAGTGTAAGTCAATATTTCGTATTCCATTTGCATAAACCTAAGAGATAAAAGTCAAGATGAAAAGAGAAAGAGACTATTGAGCATATGATGTTAAACATTTTAATACAGACCTAGTACAATTTCATGCCTATAAAGGAATAATAAAAGGGCCCTTAACCCTTGTTAATTTTAAGTGTTGCTGCCAATATATTTTACTGAGTGAAACAATAAATGTTCTGGATGGTTTTTCAATACAGAAATAAACAAGGATAAGGTAATCAAGACTCAAGTAAGAAAGGGAATAGAGATCTGCTCCATCTGTAGACAGACTACTAACCATACAAGACACACCTAATAGCAGAATATAATTTAATTATTTATCAATAAACTCTAGATTTTAAAAGACAAGATAGTAGAACCATTTTAATCTGCCCTGTTTTCATAAGGCTGCACTAGTCATTACATTTTTGTTGCTACTGTGGAATTTTATTGTATTTTATTATTACAGTAACTGCTGTTAGTCACCTTAATGATGAGTCACTAGGCCACAATATTAGAATCTCTCTCTTCACATATGTTTTTTGTATATGTAAATACAGAGAGTATGTGAATGGCTAGTCTTCCAAAATGTTGTCTTTCTTCTGTCTGTTAATTTATGTATCATTCAAAAATGGGAGAAACAATTAGCAGGATCGGGTTTTTTTTTTAAAGGACAGTGGTATTTCTACATCAAAATATATAATTATGGACCACAGCTGTCTGAGATAAAAGAGGGTTATAAATTTGGAGTGATACTTTGGAATTTTCAAAATATTATGTGATATCTTTAGGATATATGTGAGAGCCAGTGTAGTGTAGCAGCTTGAGCTTTGGACTATGATTCTGGAAGCTAGGGTTCAAATCCCTGCTCAGCCATGAAACCCATAAGAGACTTTGAGGACAAGAAAGACCCTTTGCCTCAGAGGATGGCAGACACCCCTCTTCTGATCAAATTTTGGCAAGACAATCCTGTAACGGTCACCCTATGTCAAAGATACTTGAAGATACATAAAAACAACAATAACAAAGAAAGGAGTAGATTGGATTCCTGTAGGTCAGTGATTTCAACCTTCCTAATGCCGTGACCCCTTAGTATAGGTCCTCATGTTGTGGTGACCCTCCAATCATAATGTTATTTTCATTGCCACTTCATAACTGTAATTTTGCTACTGTTATGGATCGTAATGTAAATATCTGAGATGCAGGATGTATTTTCAGTCACTGGACCAAATTTGGCACAAATATCTGATACGCCCAAATTTGAATACTGGTGAGGTTGGGGGTGATTGATTTTGTCATTTGGTAATGCTGGAGTTGCTGGGATTTATAGTTCACCTAAAATAAAAGAGCCTTCTGAACTTCACAAATGATGGAACTGAATCAAACTTGGCACACAGAATTCCCATGACCAAGAGAAAATACTGGGAAGGTCTGGCGGACATTGACCTTGAGTTTTTTGGAGTTGTAATACACCTACATCCAGAGAACACTATGGACTCAAGCAATGATGGATCTGGATCAAACTTGGCACAAATACTCAATATGCCCAAATGTAAACACTGGTAGAGTTTGGAGAAAACAGACCTTGCCATTTGGGAGTTGTAATTGTTAGGATTTAAAGTTCACCCACAATGAAATAACATTCTGAACCCCACCGATAGAATTGGACCAAACTTTCCACACAGAATCCCCATGACCAACAGAAAATACTATGTTTTCTGATGGTCTTTGGCGACCCCTCTGACACCTCCTCGCGACCCCCACAGGGGTCCCGACCCCCAGGTTGAGAAACACTGCTGTAGGTCTACTCGGAAGCCAATCACAGAGTTCAATGGGATTTGCTCCCAGATAAATAGCTACAGAATTGCTGCCTTATGTCCCATGACAATTGGTCAGTCACTCACACTTGGCATTTCATCTTTCCTCTGCATCCATGATTTCCACCAATGATCACCACCTATACCTAAAATGTCAATGGCATGAATATGTCTGTGCGTACATCACCACCATTTCATAATATACGATGCAATTCTGTAGCTATTTATTGTAACTTTATTTTTTGAATGCCTGAATGAGAAAATGGTGGTGCTGGTAGCAATGGTGAAAGATGAATGGTCCTGAGGCAGTGCTGGCTCTTTTCTTTCCTCATGGAACAAAACTTCTACTTATCCACAGATCATATTAAAACTTGTAATTCTGGTTTCAAAACCAGACTTCAAATTATATATGAAGTTGACCTACACTTTATGTACACTGGATTTTGTCTTTGTGTTTTTAAGATAAGCATTTTCCTTTTATTTGGTGATCTTACACTTTCTTAACAGTTCAGATTATCATGATAATCATGATTTAAATCTGTATCATCCAAACTCAAACTAGAGAGACAAAAGATACAAACTTTTACAGGTATTTTAAGAAGCTGTTCCAGCAGCATAAATAGGTTGGTATGTTTTGTCTACCTCCTCCACAAAAAAAGCAAAGTAACAATTTCTAACCTGCTCAATAACTGTTTTCAGCCACCACTGAGGACCCATCAGAGTTATGGCAGCAATTATTTTGGCATGTAGAACACCAAGAGCCCAGTCCTAATTCAAAACAAAGAACAGCTATCATTTATACAGAACATTAAAGTGTATAACACAGGGAGAAAAACGGAGGTGGTTTAATATCAAAAAATATTCACCTGACTTTAATTACATGCTATAGCAGAACATGGAAATACCTCAAACTGGAGCAAATTTTTAATTTACTGATAAAACAAATTCATACTGGACAAAATCTATGGATGACTCTTTCCTATGGGCCATTGGAAAGACCTTTGTTTCAAAACACAACAAGAAAAGAAAGAAGTGTCTGGGAGATGTGGCAAGATAGTCTTCTGATTCCACGAATTAAAGTTATGGGGATATATATATATATATATATATATATATATATAGAGAGAGAGAGAGAGAGAGAGAGAGAGAGAGAGAGAGCGCATTTCCAAAAAATTTAACAATTAGGTACTTCAGCTTATTCTTAAGTAAAACAAGGTTTGGTTATTTCAGTGTAAAGCTTACTCAAAAATGTTACATTTATGTTTTTCTTTTTAAGGACCACTTTTTAACCACTTTGTCATAACAACCCCCCTGTGGGGTAAGTCAGGCTGCCAGTGATTCTTCTAAATCAGCAGCAACCACATTTACAAATCTTACTTTTATTTATATGATTGTCATGCTTGTTGGACTTTTATTTTTAAGGTCATTTTTTCCTATTGTAACGTAACAGCTGGAATCCTTTATCAGGAGATATATGTACATCACATAATTATGACTCCACAGCTATGTCTCTCAGGGCTAACCACAGGCCAAACCCAGCTTTGTAAGCAGTGTAACTCCACACGCACGCACACACCACAAAGCCAGTTCTGTATTGCTTGAGGGAATCAAGAGGTACCTTGCTGAAATTAAAGTAATACAATGTGCAGTGAGGGACATCTGGAGAAATTCAAAAAGCCTCTGCATATGATATCCTTGTCTAGTTAGAAGAAAATGGACATGCCTCTGCTGACCCCTCCATTCTCCAAAAACACAAAAATCGCAGTGTTGGGGAGGCAGGCTGTGCTGCTTACAAGGTTAGCTTTGGTCAAAACAGGAATTTAAACTCTACAACAAAAACGAGCTACACTCGACGCACACCACCATAATTCAATGGTTTTGTCCATTGTTTTCCAGAAATCAACTTCTGGGTTTTTTTTGCAAAAAGAAAAGGTGGGTGAACTGGTAAGTATGAATACAATAAATGAATCCTTGTATTACTAGAGTTGCTTTTAGTAAAAATTGCACTCACATAAATTAAGGCGATATTGATTACCTTACACTACAAAAGACGATTACTGCTCCCAGATTTAGGAGGTCAATTATAACAACAACACAATCAAAGCAAGAAATAGATAGCTGACCTGCCATGGATAGAAGAGTGGTGTCTGATCCAGGGGAACTCTTAAAGGAGCGACAATAACTAACTCAAAGAGAAGTCCAAGCAGAAGTGGAACTACACCAGCCAGCAGCACCGCAACTATTAATGTCTTCATTATCTATAGGGGGAGGAGAAACACAGAAAAGTTTGCTTATTGTCAGTCATAACAAACTTTTTAATGTTTATATGGGCACTCCTACAGCATTAAGATTAATTAATTAATATTAAATTAAGATTAATTAAATAAGATTAGAAAGCAAAAAGAGAAACAAAACCATGATCAAAATAATAGTAAGTACAACGTGATTTAGACTGAACCTAAGATCAACCATTCTCCCAGTAAAGCTATCAGCCAAAGCAAAAGGAACAGAAGAGGTCACAGAACTCAAGTTCCTCCTGTGGCACATTCTGGTTGGGGCTAAATGTAAGCAGGGACTCCTGATATGAATAATAACTGGAAACTGTTTGGAAAGCTTCAGCTCCCCAGACCACATTATGGCACAAAAAGCGAAGATGTGCTTCTGAATATTTCCTGACTGAGGTTCAACACTAAGGAACCTCTTTCAGGCTCTGAACTTCAAGAACGCAATTCAAAAAACTTGAGTTGTAAAGCAAGCTTGATACTTGGAAGCATTCTTCTTAAACCTAGTCAGCTTTATTGCCTCATCACCCAACCAGTCGGTTGGTCTTGCATTTTCCTCCTTCCTTTTTTGATTAAAACAAATTTGAATAAGATTGCTATTAAGCACTACTGTTCTCGGGCAACATAACAGTATTCACTCCACACTTAGAACAATATCCCAAGCGGAATGGCAGCATACAACCTCCCCCCCCACCTCCCAAAATAAGCTTACCATAAGGGACCATTCCTTAACTTTCTGAAAAATCACTTGGCGGCCTTGTGGCATCCAAGCGACAAGAACAGTCACCGCTCGAATGGTAAGCCAGCAAACATACAGTCCACAAGCAGCTGTATATAATTCATGGATTTTGGCAGTTCCTGTCCAAAAGGACATCAACCAACGTCCAGTAAACACTAAAAACAGAGAGACATGTTAGCATTTCAAGAAACACAAAACATCACATGACACAATCATAAAGTGATTTGGACCATGATCCAAAGAACTGTGAAATATTTTTCATCAACCATTTCAGCAGCAGTACTCTATAGTGCAGGTATGGGCAAACCCAGGTCCAGGAGGCAAACGCAACCCTTTGGACTCTTTTCTCAGGCCCTCTTCTCTCTGCAAACCCAGGCTTGGGGACTGGATGCGGCCCCTTGGACTCTTTTCTCAGGCCCTCCTCTCTCTCACCATCCTATCCTTCCTTCCTTCTCTCTTTCCTTCCTCCTCCTCCCTCCCCTTCCTTACTTCTCTTTTGTCTTTTCTTCCTTCTCTTTCCTCCCTCCCCTTTCCCCCTCCCTCCATTCCCACCCTTTTGTCCTTCCTTCCGTCTCTTTTGTCCTCCTCCTCTTCCTTACTTCCAACCTTCTTTTCCACCCTTTTGTCCTTCCCTCCCTTTTGTTTTTCCTCCCTTCTATTTCCTCCCTCCATTCCCTTCCACCCTTTCGTCCTTCCTTTCTTCTCTTCCTCCTCCCCTCCTCCCTCCTCTTCCATCCATCCATCCCTTCCTCCCTTTCGCCTTCCTTCCTTCTCTCTATCCTTCTTTCCTTCCTTCCTTCCTTCCATCTCCAGGCAGCCAGTTCTCCTAGCAGGGAATGCTAGCATGTGGCCCCCAAGTTAGAAAGTTTGCCCATGCCTTCTATAGTGCAACACAGTAAGCAGTATTTGAAATAGGCCACTTTCAAAAGCATGTCATTATCTGCTGTTACAGTTAAGTCATCACGGCTGTTCAAAGACTAAGCAGATCCCAGCTTGTGATTTAATAATAATAATAATAATAATACTTTATTTATACCCCGCTACCATCTCCCCAAGGGACTCGGTGCGGTTTACATGAGGCCGAGCCCACAATACATCAGTAAAACAAACAATAACAACAACAATACAAGCAATAAAATAAAATAAAATAAACCTGTGTTGTTTTCCCTCCAAAATTAAATGCATCCATGTTTGTAAAACATCAACCACATTTTAGACAGGTTTCCCAGAAACTATTAAAAGTGTTATCTCATTTCCAGTAATGAAATCACATAAACAAAATGAAAACTATTTAAACCACACACAGCATGTCTCAATGTGGACAGACATAAGATATAAAATAACTATAGTATATGTATATAATATGGATATATAAAAATAGAGATAAGAGTTACAGAGATATTAAATAAGAAATATGCACACAGTATCCATTTAGGTTTTGCTTAACACTATTAACCCATATGTTTGGATCAACATTAATTAACAATGATTGTAGACATCTTTTATATCCAGTTAAAAAAACTGTGCAGGGAATTCATTTCAAACTTTTCTTATTTACGTTATCAATTATCTATTTTTTCCAACTTATTATGTAGGAGACAATATATTCTCTTTCTTTAAAATATATGCAGTGATATTTTAAACACACGGTCAGAATAATATTAAGATTAAAAGTACAATGTTTCTTTTCTCCAGCCAAGACACTAAGAAACATGAGAGAGAAAACTCATGTACTTTGAATAAAGACTATTTCGTAAATTAACACAAAATGAACATCTTGATTAATCAAAATGGCTTATAATTGCTTCCATACAACTTATAATACTCAATGTTCAGAACTTTCTGGATTCCTCTAAAATAAGAAGCAGCTAGTTATTGTGAAATACATACCTGGTAATGTAAGGCAAATAAGACTTGCAATTAGCAGTGTTATACACATAAAAACGATCAACAGAAATATCTGAAATAGACAAAAAGCAAAGTAGAAAACTGATTAGAGGGATACATAAAAACTATTGCAAAGTAGTGAGAAGTGACATACAGAAAGCTAAAACACAATGACTTTATTTCAATTGTAGTGAAATTCTGTGGATTTCTGGTCAAAAGCAAATCTTACTGGATATAGTGGGAATATGTTGAGGGCTACAGATGTATGTGTCTGGAAGCATTTTATGACACACCATTTTATGTTGTTTATGCCCAGGTTTTAGACTGACTGCTTTACTATTAAAACTTTGCCACACAAATCAGTGCTAAGTGACTACAGAAAAACAATTGTAACTTTCAAAAAGATGCCTGCTTTTTAGCTATAGATCATCCTAAATTCCAGAATTTGCACAACATAGACAACTACCTATATTCCACAATAGACAGCGAAAGGAAAACATACAAACATCCAAGAAAGTATACAAACATGCATGCATACACATAAACATACACAAACCATAAAGCAGAATGGCAAATAGTTTCATTAGTAGCAGCGCACACACAGTGAGATTTATGCCCAATATATTCCATTACTTATTCTATTTGGCCCAATCTACACTGCCATATAATCCAGTTTCTGAATGTAGATTAACTGCACTGGACCGGATTATAGGGCAGTGTAAACTCATAAAATCCAGTTCAAAGTTAATCTGCATTCTGAAACTGGATTATACAGCAGTGTAGATCCAGCCTCTGTTACATAAAAGAAAATCTACCTCAAGAATACATCTCCTGAGGCAGCAGACTCTATTGGAAGCAAAAAACCATGGTCTTTAAAAAATACAAGCTTTTTTTCAGTCTTCAGAACTGCAAGCTTTTTGTCTTTTTATTATGTCAGTACAATAAAAATAATGACAATTAGTTTGGTGACAAAAAAGATCAAAATGAGGTCCAAGAGAAATGACAGAAAAGAAGAAACAAGGAAACAAAAAGGATGCCAATAAATGGAAAGCACTGGAAAGATCTGCCTACCCTGAGTGGAAATTTTAAAGGCCTACGGTAAGGCTGAAAACCAACAGGTCCTCCTTGTTGTAGTATGGCTTGGTGGGCTGCATGAAGACCTTCTCCCACAACTGGAATGGCATTGTTATTGCGAGCAGGTTGGTTATTAGGCTGTTGGTTTGCATTGTTTTCATTTTCTTCCTGGTCTCCAAGTAAGTAAGAATGCAGATCCCTAAAACAAAGGATCGAGAAAATATTATCTCCCTGGGCTATTATAACGTCTCTTGAGAACAACACATAATGAATATGAAGTAATATCATTGATAAGCAATAATGACGTGGACTAATCAATGGCATCAATTTCAATCAGTTTGTTTTCATGCCCAGTTCTAGAAAGATGATGTGGCTATAGTACCAAAAAATCATGTCAACTGACTGGAATATCCAAAAAGTTCTACTTGATGGGGACGTTGGATTACCTAGAGAAAAAACATTGAAAGATACTATCATATTTGACTGCTGCAGTGAGAATCATCTTTGCCCAGAAATGGAAAGACTTAGCTCTCCCAATACAAGAAGATTGGCTTTTGAAGATACAAGAGTTAGCTGAGATCGACAATGTTGATTATGTTGATGAAGGAGAAATTCTTGACCATTTTCAAGAAAGTCTTGATACGTATATATTACCTTTTTACAACAAAGACGGGGACAAAATTCTATTATTATTTTTCAGATTTCGAAGAGTGTTATGAAAGATAGGGTGGTTATACAGTGATATATTAAGGGAACCTTTTGCCATTGTATGTGTATAACAGGGGAATGTGTGGAGTTGTAGTGGTTAGAATTATGCTGTTCGTTGTTGTAGGTTAGTTTTAATATTTAAAATATTTCTTTTGGGGTTTTTTGGGGGGGGGGGAGTGTTGTTCTTTTGGTTTTATGTCATTTGTCTTTCAGCACATTGTCTTTGTTTGACTGTAGATTTGTTTCCTTGAATAAAAATTAGTTTTAAAAGTTCAAACATGTTATTTCAGGTGTATGAATGAATTCCACTTACAGTAAGTACCCAGCAGTAACAGTCCATGCCCGTACAAGACCCTTCAGCCACTGCCTCGTGTGTCCCTGTTCAAGCAAAGCTGGAAGTACAACCTGAAGCAAAAGCAGTTCGAGGGAAAGTTCGCTCACAGGAGCATCACTGCAGAAATAAAAGGGAGCGGAGACAGTGTAAACAACAACCCAGGGACCCCCAATGTGTAGGGGATTATAAACCATTTGTAGATAAACATTTCCTACACATCACTAACTAATTGCTGCCAAATAGCTTTGTGGCTCTTCTCACCATCCCAAAAAACAAATGTTGCAGAAAGAACATGTCTCTCACCAAGAAAAGGGCACAAATACAATGCAATCTTATAAAGCATATGGTGATTCTACACAAAATCTGCAGTTCATTCTTCACATATACAAAAAAATTAGGAAAGGTTTAATTTATAACAAAAACCAAAAGCTTTTTATAGTTTGGTTCAGGAATATTAAATTACTCAAATGCCCTCTGCTCTTCTCCCCTCCTGTTTAGACATCAAAATCTTTCATTCTGTTTTCAATCGAATATTGTTTTGATCAAACCCTGATCTATATTAAATACCACAATCTTGAAAAGCAACCATGAACTGCAAGTCATTGTTCGAAAGTTAATTTTTCCCCCGAGAACTAGACTTAACCACAATTTTAGGTTTGGTTATAAAAGTAAACTAGTTCTAAGTATAATGTGTGGTTAGACAAAAAAGGAACAAAATATTCAAATTTCCTATCAGAAATTGAGGAAAAGGGGAAGCTCAAGAGCTTTGGGATTTTTTTAAGTAACACAGTACAGAAGCTTAGCACTAATTTCCACTAGACCACTGTTTGATTGGCACAACAATAAAACCAGCAGTTAGTTTCAAACAAAAATAAAAATGCATTTGTAGCAAAAGAAGAGGTCTGGAAAGACAAAAAAATATTTCAAAGTGTAATCTTACCTGTAGAGCATGACATTATATGGAAGAAAATGAGGCAGCAGATATTTAATAATTCGTATTGGAAGCCAAAGCATGAGCAAGACAATTGACCCAAAGACTATCTGCAATGAGAAAAAAAAACAGTCTGGAATACGTTCCCCACATACAGTCTATTTATATTCCAAAACAATTCATGCAAAGGTTTGAATCATAACTAAGTTAGTCAACACTTGCTTGCTGTGCATTAACTCTACTCCTGTTTACTACTAATAACAGCTTGCTGCCACATCAGAATTCCCTGTTTAGCTATTATACCCCAATAAGGAGAGAAATCTCACTTCAAGTATCATTTAGGATTCTTGCTGAGAGGAAAAAGCTCTAGCCTATGACTAGATTACCAATTCAAATGTTGTGGCAAACCATGACTGACAACAGATAAAATCAGGGAGAAGGGGGTGTTTTTAGTTTTGCAGCTCGTATCCTAATTGTTTTGAAAATAATCTAAGACAGTGTTTTAGTAAAGTTTCTCTTCTGGTGCTTGCACAAGTGGTTTTACTGAAATATCCCTAAACTAGGAACCAGCAGATCAGAGTTCACTTGCAAAACGTCCTTTTCTCAAACTTCCTAGAATAAAGCTGCTGCAGGAAAATTATAATGTTCTGATTTATACTTTATAGTGTGGGCGCACTAAGATTTGGACTACAGTTCTGGAGACCAGGGTTAAAATCCTCAAACAATTATAAAACCCACAGTGAGATCTTGGGCAAATCATTATGCATTTCTTTGAAATAAAAAAGTCTAGCAACCACAGGAAATATCTCCAGAAAAAAAATATATGGATGCTTGCTTCTAAAGAAAGAATTAACCATTATTTTTGTGCTCTTGGATCTTTCTTAGGACCTGATACAATTTTGAAAATATAATCTGAAGAGTCTAGAGTGATTTTTGTTTGAATCTTCATTAAATCTGTATTTTACTGCTACAATCATGATCTGGAACAGATCTCCATACAGTATAAACCTTGGGAGTTTAAGACATATATGGATTCTCACTATGTAAAAGATGCAATGTAGCAAGAAGCTGCTTGCTACTTTGCAAGGTGAATTTGCAATTACATATGTAAAAAGAAACCTGCTTACATCCTAAACAGAATCAGAATATAAAGTGATTGCCAGCAAGAATAATATCAAGATTTTAAAAGAAAAAAGTGGAAAGACTTATTTACCACTGATAAAATAAACCTTCTGAGATGCCTATAAATAGGCAAATGAATCATTTCTTGAACTGGATTGAAGTCTGGATCATTTAAATTTCTCAGAAACCAGAGGACACCAGGTCTCAGGACCTGAAATGGAAAATTAACACTTGAAAGGAAGAGAAATGCATGCAAGTCAATCTTTGAGCAATTAAAACTTTCAAATTAAATTTTCCACTTATGCAACATTTCATTTATAAACCTTAAACCATCCCAAGTCCCCTAAGGGAGAATGGGTGGGATATAAAAAGATTATTATTATTATTATTATCATTGACACAAAAACACAGTATGACACAGCAAGAGATATACATGCTGGATTTCATATCACAAAATCACAAGTCGAACATTTCCCAAGTGTTTAGGATTGTGTGATGTGTTTTGAATGATGCGCGCAGATCCAAGTAAGATGGACTTTTGCAGTTGACAGATTGTGATTTTGTCAATGTTTATTGTTTCCAAATGCCGGTTGAGATATTTTGGTATGGCACCCAGTGTGCTGATGACCACTGGGACCACCTGTACTGGTTTATGCTTTTGCATTTCGATTTTGAGGTCTTGATAATGGCTGAGTTTACCACAGATATATAAGCCTCACTTGCATAGTTTCCAGCAGACCTCTTAGAATGCCTGCTATAGATGTGGGTGAAACGTCAGGAGAGAGTGCTTCTGGAATATGGCCATACAGCCTGGAAAACTGACAGCAACCCAATATGAAATACATTCATGGGAAGAGCCACTAATGCTGCGAAAAGCTAAAGGGAGTACAAAAAGAGGAAGGTAGATTGACTCAATAAAGAAGCCATAGCCCTGGGTTTGCAAGACCTGAACAGGGTGGTTAATAATAGGATTCTTTAGCAGTCCCTCATTCACAGGCTCCCCATGGATCTGCCTGATGGCATATTAACAACAAAGAAGAGTTCATATGCCACATCAAGTAAAACAAACTAACTTCGCAATTGCAATAGCATTTCCCACACTGACTTTGTGAAGAAACCTCTTGTTTTGTCCTCCTTTCCCTAAGGAGAGCTCATCAGTACAGTTGGCTATTATAAAAGGTTATATAACTTTAAAA